AAAAAAAAGTTATATAGAAAAATTACCAACATAAAACTTGTAAATCTTGATAAGTTATACAACTTTGTTGTTGACAATTTTTCCATTTGAAATAATTTAGTATTTTAAAATATTATTTGAAGTTGTCATATTTTCAAATTCAAATTCAAACTATTCAAAAAAAAGTTATATAGAAAAATGAACAAAATAAAAGTTGTAAATCTTGATAAGTTATACAACTTTGTTGTTGACAATTTTTCCATTTAAAATCACTTACTACCAAAAAAATTATTTTGACTAATAAAATAAATTATTATACTGCATTTAATTATTTTGCTATAGGTCAACTCACAAATATAAACATTTCGTATGAAAAATGAAAAAAAAAATACTAAGTCATCTTAATCGGGCATTAGTATAGAGCCCATCATAGATGACGGGCCTAGTTGTTACCAATTGAGATATGGTCGCACAGACATGTTAGATGGTCATAAAACTCATACTCGTCATGGATGACACCTATCAGTGACGGGCCGTAGTTTAGACCCGATTGAGATAACATTCTAAATCTCAATCGGGCAATAAGTTGGCGCCCGTCACAGATGATGGAAGCAACTTGGGCCCCATTTGAGATGTGGAATGTTATCTCAATCGGGCCTAAACTACGACCCGTCACTAATATGTGTCATCCGTGATGGGCCTGAGTTTATGCCATCTAACATGTCTGCGCGACCATATCTCAATCGGGCGCTTTTTTGGCTCGATTGAAATGACTTCCTTGTGATGGCCCGCTAATTCCAGGCATGTTAGAGACCGTCACACAGGAGAGAGGATCTATACTAGTGATTGGTCAGACCGGAGTTATGCGAGTAGTCAGACCAGCCAACTCAATGGTTTGACTGACCGACTCTAAGGTATCGGTTTCGGGTTGTTTATTTGGATACTCGTGATTAATTCATATTTATGACTTCTAGATGATCAATGTACATATGTAATACTGTTCTATGCTAATATTGAGTCAAGTTTAAGAGAACTTGTGCTCGGATATGATTTCTTATTTGATTCATGTGTTGGTGTGCCATGATGCCTTAGAAGAGTATTATCGGTGATGTATCAGGAGTCAACTTGGGAGAAAATGACGTCCAGACGATCGGGATATTATACGAGATGCTAAGGCTAAAAAACAATGCACGTAATCGATGGAGATTCCATGCGGCATAAGAAACATGTATCTAGCAAATTCATGTATAGGGAGATTGTGTGTGTATAGAATGAGTTGTGAATTTGGTAATATCACGAGGTCAATTGGATGAGGTAAAACATGTATCTCCATGACACAAAATCAAACGGATAAATATTATAATTGATTGTCGATGAAACATCGGGTTGTACGTGGTGAAACAACAAAATTAGTGATTAAAACATTTCAAAGATTTGTGAAACAAAATAAAATTCCTATTGAAACATTTCACTCTCGTATATGAAACAATGATGCGATTCCTATTGAAACATTTCACTCTCGTATATGAAACAATGATGCGAACAACTTTTAAAATGTTACAATCATGCTCCAAACTCACACCTTGTTTAACATGTGATCATACAAAGTAACTAGCAAATTCTCCCAAATAGGAGTATGATAAAGAAACAAAAGCTCAATTTGAATCCTACCTACCCAACCCAAACAAATGTCGCCTTCCCCAAACAAAACGCATCCCAAACTAGAGTGCTTGACCTCACCCGGTTTTCCCTCGCACCGTTACAGCGATTCGTCAACTCATTTCGTCCACACGCGCTTAGCGGGACCCCTCCGCAGCCAAACGGCGCAGTCCCCCGCCCGAGTCGCCATGCACGTTAAGTTTGACCTGCCAACCTCTCGAAACCTTATAAAAGGACACCTCGGCTCGATCCATTGCTCGATCCATCTCAAGTCTCAAGCTTAATTAAGCTCGTAATCTCATATAACCTCTTTTTGGACGAAGCTTGCCACTCGATCGTGTTAACCACTCGAGCTTGAGCGAGCGAGCTAGCTTTGCTCTGACGAGAAAAATGGCGTCCTTTCACATCGCCACGGCGCTCTCGGCGACTCTGCTGCTCTCCTTGCTCGTCCTGGGCCGCTCCGACGCCACCCTGCCGCCGCCGGCCACGCCGGTGCCGCCGTCCACGGCGTGCAATGGGACGACGGACCCCACGTTCTGCCGGTCCGTGCTCCCGTCGAACGGCACCAGCAACCTCTACACCTACGGCCGGTTCTCCGTCGCCAAGTCGCTGGCGAACGCCAACAAGTTCCTTTCCCTTGTCAACCGCTACCTCTCCGGCGGTCGGCTCGCCGCCGGCGCGGTGGCGGCGCTGCAGGACTGCCAGCTGCTGTCCGGGCTCAACATCGACTTCCTGTCCGCCGCCGGCGCCACGCTCAACAGGACGTCCAGCACGCTGCTCGACCCGCAGGCGGAGGACGTGCAGACGCTGCTGTCGGCGATCCTGACCAACCAGCAGACGTGCGCCGACGGCCTCCAGGCCGCCGCCTCGGCGTGGTCCGTGCGCAACGGCCTCGCCGTGCCGATGAGCAACAGCACCAAGCTGTACAGCGTCTCGCTCTCGCTCTTCACCAGGGCGTGGGTGCGCCCCAGCACCAAGAAGCCGAGGACGGCGACGCCGAAGCCGCCTCGCCACGGCGGCCGCGGCAGGGGCCTGTTCGACGCCACCGACGACGAGATGGTGCGGAGGATGGCGCTCGACGGCGCCGCGGCGGCCGTGTCCACGTTCGGCGCCGTGACGGTCGACCAGAGCGGCGCCGGCAACTTCACGACCGTCTCGGACGCCGTGGCGGCGGCGCCGACGAACCTCGACGGCACCAAGGGCTACTTCGTGATACACGTCACCGCCGGCGTGTACGCGGAGAATGTGGTGGTGCCCAAGAACAAGAAGTACGTGATGATGGTCGGCGACGGCATCGGGCAGACGGTGATCACCGGCAACCGGAGCGTCGTCGACGGCTGGACGACCTTCAACTCCGCCACGTTCGGTGAGTTAATTTGTCAACGCAATTTCTTCTCGTAGAAGTTTTAGGTAATTAAGTTGGTACATGTCGGTGTTCGGTACTAGGGTTTTAATTCCATACTGCAATTTGGCCAGCTGGTTCGATAATTAATGAAGTGGGAACTAGGAGCAAGTAGAGTAGTGTAGCGGTAGATTAATAAGCGGGTCGCAAGTCAAAAGTGTGTTGACACTTTACATCAGTGCAAACGTACCTCACCCTCACCGCCCGGCCGGAATACGATCATTGACGAGGCATCCCATGAGTTATTAAAATCCTTAGCTGTTAGGCTCATAATGCATAGTAGATGTTTCTGAATCCTATAAAAACTTATCTGAAAAAAAAAATCCTATGTTAATCTAATCGATTAATTATGTGCTGGTTCGGTCGTGATGTTGACGTAACTATACACATGCAGCTGTGCTCGGGCAAGGATTCGTGGCGGTGAACATGACGTTCAGGAACACGGCCGGGCCGGCGAAGCACCAGGCGGTGGCGCTCCGGTGCGGCGCCGACCTGTCGACGTTCTACCAGTGCAGCTTCGAGGCGTACCAGGACACGCTGTACACGCACTCGCTCCGGCAGTTCTACCGCGCCTGCGACGTCTACGGCACCGTCGACTACGTGTTCGGCAACGCCGCCGTGGTTTTCCAGGACTGCACCCTCTACAACCGCCTCCCCATGCAGGGGCAGAGCAACACCGTCACGGCGCAGGGGCGCACCGACCCCAACCAGAACACCGGCACCACCATCCAGGGCTGCGCCATCGTCGCGGCGCCCGACCTCGCCGCCAACACGGCGTTCGCCACCACCAACTACCTCGGCCGCCCGTGGAAGCTCTACTCGCGCACGGTGATCATGCAGTCCGTCGTCGGCGGGCTCATCGACCCCGCCGGGTGGATGCCGTGGGACGGCGACTACGCGCTCAGCACGCTCTACTACGCCGAGTACAACAACTCCGGCGCCGGGGCGGACACCAGCAGGAGGGTGACCTGGCCGGGGTACCACGTGCTCAACAGCACCGCCGACGCCGGCAACTTCACCGTCGGCAACATGGTGCTCGGCGACTTCTGGCTGCCGCAGACCGGCGTGCCGTTCACCAGCGGCCTCAACTGATCGATCAGGCGGCGCTGCACGATACATACATACATACATACATACATACATACATACATAGATACACGTGATTGGGATATGTATACGTACTCGGTGTGTCAATTCGTCAAACACTCTTAGAAGATGCAATTGTAACTTTAGCGAGAGCGTATACTGAAATAGGCAGAGAAAGAGAATAATAAGTGGTATAAAGAAATGCCACAGCTAGAATCAGATTGTTTAGCTTTCCTTAAATTGTTGTTTGGATAAATTCAGTTCTTAATCTAATCGAATTGCATAAGGAAAATAAGATATTGTTGCTTGTAATGTTTTTATTTAGAGATCTTGTACTTGTTCAATTGTTCCTTGAGTTATGTTATAGGATAAAGACCACTTTACGTCCCTACTCAAGTTATATATTTTTTAAGAATCCTCACTCAAGTTTAATTCATGCCTCTCAGCCACAAAACTAGATATAAAATGTACACCAACTATAAGTTTATATAAAAAAGAACATTTCGTAAAAAAATACTTTGTTAAACATGAAGAGGTTTGAGAATTGCAACAAACCTGTAAAGAGCTTATAATATGAAATAGAGGGTGGAGTATTTAGCAAGGGTGGAAGCCCAAGGCTGAAATCGGTCAATTTTCTGTAGTTCCAAGCCGGGGATGAGATGGGCTTAGTCGCCTTAATAAACCATGGGCCTGGGCTCGGTCCTTGCGAGGTCCAGTTGCTGAAGTCCTATACTGAAAATGTTGGATTTGAACAAACACATATTCTTATGCACGACAAAGCATTCCTCTAATCATCATTTCTGAGGTAATTTTGTATAGAAATTTATCACCTACATCCTCTATTAAAATTTGTAATTTTTTCAATGGAGATGCATAAATTAAGCAATGCTCTTTTTAAGATCAAGAATGTGCTATACATTGATCGTATGAACCCAACAACAGTTCCACCACCGCCAGCGCCTAGGATGTTGTCTGCTGATGCAAACAGCAATTACCAATCCAATTCAAAGCCATCAACAAACATGCTAATCTTCCAACCATGGAATCCCAGATTACCCCTGTCGTCGAAAAAATAAAAAAGAATATCCAGGGGATAAAAGGAAGAAGAGAAAGCTATTCTTCAGCGCTCGGTGACACGCGGATCAGCTTGGTGATGGTGAAGGCGATGCTGCAGAGCTGGTCGACCTCGCGGTTGCGCAAGGTGAGGATGTTCCGGTGCTGCGGCACGGCCTTGAACCCCCTCTGGCACATCTTCACCTCCGCCTGCCCCGCCGCCACCAGCGCCATCGCCTCCTCGTACCCCCCCGTGTCCAGCGCCACCGTCGCGTCCGTCAGCTGCTCCACCGCCGCCTCGTACCTTCATCACCACAGCGTACGTACAACACCGGTCATTCATCGCGCCTGGCACCCAACCATCGATAGCCGGCGCCCGGCGTACGTGTGTATTGATTCTCGTTGCGTATACGACGAAAACACGTTACCTCTCGGAGCAGTCCTCGAGGCACTGCTGCAGCTGCACCGTCTTCTTCTCGATGCTGTCGTCGTCGTAGATGCTGGAGAGGTAGGTGGCCGTCTCCGACGCGTTCTTCTGCGCCGCCAGGACGGCCACCCTGGCGAGCCCCACCGTGTCCGACGACTTGGCGGACCGGTCGGCGGAGAGCGTCACGATGCAGAGGCCGTAGTGTGGGCCGGTCTTCTTGCACGCGTCCTCGAGGGAGTAGTTGGCCAACGGCGCGGCGGTAGGTGCCCCGGCCTCCGCAGCCGGCGCGGCGAGGAGGATGGCAAGGACGGCGACACCGACGGCGGCGTGATACGGGGAGGAAGCCATTTCGTCGTTTTTTTCTTTCTTTTTTGGGTTTTCCTCCGATCAGCGACCGGCTTCGGTGATGTTGCTCACGTTGGACGCGGGAGGGCATGCAGGGATCCTAGCTAGTTGTATGCTGATGTTTGGCTAAATTAAGCATCTATCAATTGTTAGGTGGTTTATTAATTGTTACGATCGCCTATCGCCTGCATTAAGGGTCGAGATTTTGGTTGGACAGGAAAAAACCCCCAAAACTAAGGGAGGCTATATATATATTAAGTATTACTACATCCGTCCATATTACTTGTCGCTTTGAGTTTTTGTTTATAATATTTGATCATTCGACTTATTAAAAAAATAGAATTATTTTTTTTGTTTGTGATTTGCTTTATTATCAAGAGTACTTTAAGTATGACTTATATTTTTATATATATATTTGTACTAATTTTTCAAATAAAACGAACTAGCTGGTTGGCCCGCGCAATAACGCGGCTAGCACCCAAACAAAATCATATATTCTTTTAGTATGATTTTACTTAAAATTTATTAAATAGCTATCTCATTGTCTTAAGACTTTGAAAGACCAAATCTTATCATCCTCGTGTTTCTAATTATATAGTTTTTAAAAGTCACACCAGTTGCTACTCCTTATGTCATCTCCTTCTTTATTTGCTTACTCGATCTATCACTATTTCTATTCATTTTTCTTGGAACCTTTAAAAATTGGATTTTATAGTTTTTAGAGTTTATTTCACGTTGGGTTTCATTTTTATAATTTCTAGATGTCCCGTCAAACATTGCCATTATACTCCTATACGGCATGTGCACTGTCTCTTCTCTTTATTGTCATTGAGATTTTAAAAATCAAAGATAATTATCATTTGGGTTCATTTTTACTTTCTAAAAGTACCGCCAAACCGTCAGCAGCTTTGCCATTGTACTCCTCTACGGTTCGCCCACTACCTCCCTTCTTTATTATCATTGAGATTTTAAAATCGAACATGATTATCATTATTTTTTTTTACATTTTAAAAGTTCTGAACCTTTAAAAATTGGACTTGTAGTTTTATTTTTTATAATTTTTAGAAGTCCCATCAAACGATGCAACTATGCCCCTCTACAATCCGTCTGCTGCCTACTCTTTATTGTCACTATGATTCTAAAAATCGAACATAACTATCGTTGAAATTTATTTTTTATTTTCTAGAAGTCCCATCAACCGTCGGCGGCTCTGCAATTATACTCTTATGCACCCCGCCCACTGCTTCTCCTTTCTATTGTCACTAAGATTTTAAAAATCGAATATGATTATCAATGGGTTTTTTTTTACTTTCTAAAAGTCCCGGCAACCGCCTTACTTGTTTGCTTTACGGCATGCCTGACGTCCCTCCTTTTAATCGTCATTAGGATTCTATTTGGTGTTTTATTAACAATATTTAGATGTCGTATCAACCGCCACCACTTTACTCCTTTATAGGCCCGTTACTTAATTTTAACTCATCATGTGTTTTAGATGATATTTTCTTTCAATAGTCTTTATTTTTATCACAATTTTTATTTATTTATAAATTGTATTCCTAATTGAAATCTTATTTTTCTTTTTTTCTAATTTTAGAATCTATTTTCTTAAAAAAATCAGTTAATACCGTATTGTGTTCTTTTAATGTTTCTATTTTTTATTTTCAATTTCAGTTGTTTCAAAATTGTATTCCTACTTGAACTCTCTTTTAATTTTCTAATTTTTTTGACTGAAAGTACTGCCAGGTCTTTGCCCAGCAGTGTGATTTTCATTTATGCAAAATTTTAATTAATCTCGTATTGGGTTCTTATATGGATTCTTCTTTCAATATTGCTTATTTTTAATTTCGAATTTTAGCTAATTTTAAATTATATTCCTACTTGAACTCTTCTTTTATTTTCTTTTTCTAATTTCGGATTTATTTTTATTTTTATTCTGAATTTTAATTAATCTCGTATTGGGTTCTTATATGGACTCTTCTTTTAATATTCCTTATTTTTAATTCCGCATTTCAGCTATTTTTAAATTATATTCCTACTTAGACTCTCCTTTCATTTTCTAATTTTGGATTTTATTTTATTTTTATTTCGAATTTTGATTAATCTCGTATTGGGTTCTTATATGGAAACTTCTTTCAATATTGCTTATTTTTAATTCCGAATTTAGCTATTTTTAAATCGTATTTCTACTTGGACTCTCCTTTCCTTTTCTATGTTTGGATTTTATTTTATTTTTTTTTCGAATTTTGATTAATCTCGTATTGGGTTCTTATATGGAAACTTCTTTCAATATAGCTTATTTTTAATTTCGAATTTCAGCTATTTTTAAATTGTATTTCTACTTGAACTCTCTTTTTCTTTTTTTTTCTTTTTCTCTGATTAATGTGGGAATTTCTAGCCCTCAAAGCAAACGTGGTGCCTCCTTTCAAAGCTGTTTTAATAATATAATAGATAGATGGTTAGACATTACAAGGAAAAAAAAAAGTCAAAACGACATCTATTATGGGACGGAGATAGTAAGTCCTCTCTACATATTCATAGTTCATATATCTATTCATTTATTATTTGCTCCTTTGTCTTCAGGTATATTATGTAAGTTAGTATACTTGTTGTATTCGGTTGATAGGTAACACGTGGACTATGAATTATTTGCTGCATGAGGCTAGTGTAGCTTATCTGCAAATGAAGTTTATTAGTTTATATGTGCATGTATAAAATAGTATATACGCTACAAACATGTTTTGATTGGATTACCTGTCTTGGGACTGAGTTTAGCAATTTGAATTGACCATATATCATTTCTCCTCCATAATTGATCACTTCGGACACCATTGTTCCTATGATATTGTTTAATTCTGGTGAACTGATGTTTCTTTTGTACAAGTTGCATCTTCAAAAAGATAAATATGACAAGGTTAGATCAGTGCATTTTACTTTTTGATTGTGATATATAGTTGTAATTGCAAGTAGTTTATAATTTTTGGTTACCTTGATTGATGTTTTCATGTAGCTTCTAGTCCTCATAGTTTAGAATCTGATTTACTACCTAAATGAAGTGTTCTGTTGTTGCTTCGTTCGCCTTCATGCTTCTGCAAGTTGTAGATATCAACAAACCATCTACGTGGCACCTCTCCTGTAAAATTTATTTAAAGCATTAGACCATATGGTTTGTTATATTTGTATTTATAATTTTTACTGCCATATGATATAGTAGTAGTTCATGTTAAGAATTTTTTTTATAATAGAAACAGCTCTGATATTTTTTAGATTTAGTTGCGGAGTGGTTTGCTTTATGCTAGCTGTTGTTGTCATGTGCAGGTTTTCTTTCACCTTGAGAATGTCAACCAGGATCTCAAGTGCGAACTCAAGGATTCCAGTATAAGTGGCCAACCTTTTACATTCTAAACCTCCGAGCCAATTGGTTGTTGGCAGCTTGCTTTTTTGATCAATTTAGTGCAATAAATATCGAATTGTATTTTTTTTCATTGTTCTTCTTTTCTATACCGTTTTTCTCCATGGAGCCAACCTAAATTGGTTCTGCATATGAATTCATTCCTGCAAATTTATGGAATACGTTAGTATACATGTCTTTTGAAAGCATCGTACAAGAGTGTTTAGCACTACATATTTAGTTACACAACATATGCACCAAAATTATAGTGAACTTACATGTTATATAAATGGGGCAATTGCAAATTTACCACTACTTTGAATTGTTATTGTGTCACTAGAAAATTGCAAAGAATACCACTAAAACTGTCACTTGCAATATTGAAAAAACCGGTGGCAAATTTGCAAATGCCCCATAAAGTTGTTTTTTCAAATGTAAATTTAGATCATTGGTAATTTAATTTTATATTTTTCTTACATCTTACTTATTGTCCAAGTTTTAGAGTAATTACATACGTAGTTACATTGCAAATACATCACATTTACAAATGTAATTTTAGTTTTCAACTGATGTACTTTTATACTGTATTTCAATTTTGTGTTTTATTCCACTTCAAGTTATTTTTTGTTTTTTTATGTAGGTTAAGTTTTAGGTTCTGAAACATTTTAAGGTTCTAATATAGTTTTATGTTATGATCTATGGCATTTTACTAAATTGCATGATCAAGTTGTAGTGATTGTCAAAACTAGCATACTATGGCATGATCTAGTTATAGAACTTTTCTAAAATATAGCATGTTTTATGTTGGTAAAAATCTCAATCCAATTTTAGTTGTAGACGATTTTGGAGTATGAGCCAAGCATACTGCCATGATTTAGTTGTAGTGCTTGTGTTATTTTTTTTCACATTCACAATACTTTTGCCAAAGGTAGAGCGTTATTACATGGGTAACCAATAGAACTTACAATTGTAATTTTACTTATATACCAAAGTAATTTTGTATTGTAAGTGTATATTTTGTTCAATTATTTTATTACTTGTACTATCTATTTTGTATCTTTGAATTTTGTTAGCTGTAGAGTACTGGAAAGTTGTATGCATTTTGAAAGTTATGTGCATTTTGTTTAGCTTCTTCTCTTGTAGGATTTATGTCTTTCTTTTTACAAATGAATGTTGATAATTGGAAAAATCATGTGTTCCATTTATTACTTGGTGGGATTATATGTAGCTTTTGTCATGAAATGATATTCTGAATTTCTAATGTAGTATGGTCCTTGTTGGATTTTGCTGATTGGTTTTGGTATTTGAACCACACATCTAGTGTTTGCATCTAAGGTGAGTTAAATTTGAATTCTCATCTTGATTAGGTTGATGTGATGTTGATGATTGGTGCCTTCTTTTTGTTAGAGTACATATGCTTTTATAAATGATGTGAACATATCTTTATTCTCAAGGTTACTACATCTTAACAGTTATAATTATTTTACTGTGAGCTCACATGAACATACATTCCGAGCAAGCTAAATAGTGCATTATGAGCAGCTTTTCCTTGAATGCATTAGACTGAATAGGAACAACATTATGGTTGATGTGAAGTGTTTGGATTTGCTTGTGTGTGATTTTTTCCTATGGTTTTTTGGTGATTTTTGGTTTGTTTCTTAAAACCATCTAGAGTTTTTGCACTTCATTATGGACCTACTTAGAAGCTGCTAGTTTTTAATGCTTAGTGGCTGGATGTTTTTTTTCCACATTGAACATGTCAATTTTAGTTAGTGCAATAGAATGTAGTTTATTTTTCATGTCATGCAAGAAGTTTTTATCATTTGAATGTTACAATACACAAATCAGTACAGCTAAACCTATAAATTAGTTCAGTACCAGTGTAAGTAGTTTTAACTTCAATTAGTTCTATGTAGTGTGCTCTTTCTTGTGTTGGAATGATTTTGTTTAATGCCAGAGTAGAGTTATTTTTTTTATGATTTAGTAGCATAGTTTGAGATATGAGATTTTGCATGTGCATAGTAAATATTGTTTTAGATGCACTTACAAGATAAATCAATGGTAATTACATATGTAGTTACATTCGAAATACACCAGAATTACATATGTAATTTTAGTTTTGTACCGATGTAAATTCATAATGTATTTTGTATTTGCTATTAATTCTACTCCAATAAGTTTCTTTGTAATGTAAGAAAGGTTAGGTTATAAAGTTGTTGTATGTTCTGAGCTAACCATACTGCCATGATCTAGTTTTGGTCGTTGTGTGAAAACTAGGACATTTGTAGTTTGAGGAACCCTAGGGACTCTTTTAGTTCTGCTGGGTAGATGAAAACGGTCGCATTTCTAAAAGACATACCAGATCACGTCTCTAATTTAGATGTAAGAGTTAATCATGTGTCTAATTTAGATGTGCCCCCATGAATTTTTTTTGTTATGCTCAGTTGTGCACGTAGAAGTTAGAATATGTACTGCAGTTTAGTGTCATAAAAATTATACTAATTTGTAATGATTTCCCTTGTGTTATAGGTTTTTTTTGACACACAACACTAGTGCAAATGCTTTAGAGTCATTACATGACAAATCAATAGAACTTACCATTGCAATTTTACTTATATACCAATGTAATTTTGTACTTTGAGTTCATATTTTGTTAATTACTTGTAGTCCATATCCTGTATATTTGAATTTTATTAGCTGTAGAGTATTGCCGACTTGTATGCACGTTGTTTAGGGGCTTCTCATATAGGACATATGTGTTTTTTTTTATAAATCAATGTTTGATAATTGGGAAAATCATGAATGCATTTATTATTGGGTGGATTATATGCAATTTTTGTCCAGAGATGATATTCTAGACTTCTGACATGTAGCATGGTTTTTTTAGTCAGTTTTGCTGGATTTTCTTGATTGGTTATGGTATTTGAAGCAAACATATGATATCTGGTTGTTGCATCTCAGGATAGTTAAATTATGTTTAAATTTTCATTTTGATTTGGTTGATGTGATGTTTCATAGCTGCATTCTGGCATGACCTAGTTTTAGTGTTTGTTTGAAAACTATTGTTTTGTACTTTGGGAAATTTTTGTTGCTTTTATGTTGCTACATATTATATTGCAATTGTTCAAGTATTTCAAATGAAACAGCAGTGAATACCTACTGACAGTTCCAATTTGAAAATCAGGAAATTTATCTAGCTATTGTTCTAAATTTTACTGTTCTAATATACTATAGTGGAATGAATAACCCTACCCAAATTTTGTGATGCCTTATCCTGTCTCATTTTTTTCAACTGAAACTTATAGCACATATGTCTCTCTATTTCCACCTAAAACTTACACCTTAGAAGGATTTCGATTCATACATCCAAGTTTATTATGCTTAGTTACTACATGCTGAAGTTAGATCTTGTATTGTTGTTGTATTAGTGTTGATTTTTGTTGTGCATTACCCAAGATTTTTTTTTTTTGCTTTTGTGACATGGAGATAAAAAAGATGCAATATGGGTAAAACTTGATTTGAAGTCAAATATAGGATTCTAGAGAAATTTGGAGTCTGAGATTAGCTTTTGCAACTTACCTGGAATGGTTATGTTTCTTTCTTCTTGTTTCTCCTATGAGATTTCATTTTGATTTGAAGAAAATTTCTTCGGTTGAGTTTTCTTCCTTCTTCATTTTCTCGTTCTCCTTGTCAATCGCATGTATTCTCCTTTTTTTTGATTGATCTGAATCTGAGGAGTATGGTGGATCCAGTTTAGTTTGTCTTTTTCCCAGCTTCCTTGGCAGCCAAGTTATTTATTCGGGGCCACCTACAAATCAGGCGTTGTTCCACCATATAGATCGAAATTATTTCAATAACTAGATTGAAAATGTTTCAGTCGTTTAAAAAGCTAAAATGCGACACCTCATGAAATATTTTGCTACAACGAATGAAACAACAGTTTCCCAAAACATCGGGCGCTATTTCGCCCTATGTAAAAACAATGTTTCAACAAATAGAAAAAAATGTTTTAATTCACTACAATATTTGATCCATACATAGTGAAACATCACGAGTACATTAGATGAAACATTTTTTGTGGAACAAAAAAATGAAACAGATTTTGCTAATTGAGGGATTTCGTAATATGTGGGTGATTTGTTGCAAAAGAATGTTTTATTTCACTACAACATTTGATCTGTACACAATGAAATATTACAAGTACACTAGCTAAAACATTGTTGGTGGAACAAAAAATCAAATGGATCCCTCCTTAATAGGGCGTTTCCGTTTTATCCGAGCAACTATTGCAACGGGGCGCGTAGTGGTGGGAGCACGTGGCGGCTTGCGGACGCGCGTGGTGGGGCCTGGGTGGCAGCGGCGCGAGGCGCCTAATGCATGCGCGCGCCCGCATTGGGTGCCCGGCCGGGAGGATTTTCCTAATTATTCCTGTGTGTTTGGGTTTTTTTAGTTCGAATTTGTTTTCTTCATAATTTTTGGGCTAGTTTGTTTGCCCAATTATTGATCTGTGTTTGGCCCATCATGTTATGATGTATTTTTCAAAAAAAAAAAATTCTAGTCCGCTGGATGCTAATCCATGGGTATATAAAAAAATGGGTGATTTCGGGTGAAAAATTACCCGACAAATGGACAGGCAATTCCTTTTGTATTTACTAATTGATGCCCCACACTTTGTTACAGGATATATGTTAGATATTAGAGAAATGATAAAATAATTTGGATTGAAATATTATGAAAATGATTTGAGAATGATGATTTAGTATGTGTATGTTTAGTTTTAAAATGAAATAAATTATAGATATAATTACTATATGCTTACATGTTGAGCTTTGTATGATAATGGGTTGATGTAGCATGCTTGCATATAGGTTTGAGGTGTACTAATAAATACTATACTTGCATATTAATTGAGGCATATATGTTTAGTGGACATTAGCTTTATAGAAAGAAGAGATATGGCCAGATAAATTTATCTTCGAGTAGGATTCAGAGAAACCTTATAGAATTCAGGCAGATGAAATCCTGCCTCCCTCAGGTCGAATTCTAGTGTCTCTTATTCCCACGGAACGATTTTCTTTCTTATCCGTTATATTTTCATATTTGAGTATATCTTTTCATATAATATTAGGTATGCGGTATTTCAGGATATTACTAACAAGGATAGACCTTATCCGTACAATGATAATATTTGTGATAAAGATTGAACTTATAAGTGGGAATAAGTCAAACAGCACCTACACTATATAACAATAGTCCCTACGATAGGTACCTCACAACTATCAGTACGTCTCGCAATCAACCGAAGTACAGATGAAGAGATTTTAAGTACCGATGACCGTGACTGCATACCAATACGGCCAATTGGCAACTGCTCATCGGAATATGTATTAGAGCGTCGTGAGCACATGGAGGTAGCATAGCATAGTACTCCCTCCGTATTTTAATGTATGATGCCTTTAACTTTTTAACCAACGTTTAATGTTTGACTATTCGTTTTATTCAAAATTTTTGTGCAAATATGAAAATATTTATGTCATGCTTAAAGAACATTTGATGATGAATCAAGTCACAATAAAATAAATGATAATTACATAATTTTTTTTAATAAAACAAATGATCAAACGTTGAATAAAAAGTCAACGGCATCATAGAGTAAAATATAAAGGTAGTATCAGCGTGAGATGAATAATGAATTCTCGCTCGTGAGTCGTGACAGTAGAAGAGCTATCAGAGTATCAGTAGAAAAATCTTAGCATCGATCATGGCATCGCCACCCTCGCTGCTGCCCAGCGCCGGCGAGGACGACGAATCCCAGCGAGAAGTTTACGAGCAGCTCCGCCAGCTCGTGTCGACCTACCCGACCGTGCCGAGCGGCCTCGACACCCCGTACTACCGCCACCCCGACGGCTGGTACACGTTCTTGCCGGCGATGGTCAGCGTCATGGTGGCGCAGCGCCACTTCACCGCCCGCGACACCGACATCATCATCGCCACCTTCCCCAAGTGTGGCACCACCTGGCTCAAGGCGCTCCTCTTCGCGACCGTCCACCGCGACGGCGGCGGCGCCGGCGGCGTGGAGGACGACGCGGCGCTCGCGCAGCTCAGGGCGCGGAACCCGCACCAGCTCGTCCCGTTCCTCGAGATCCAGGTGTACGTGCGCGACAGGGCGCCCGACCTGAGCTCCCTCCCGGCGCCACGGCTCCTCGCGACGCACATCCCGCGCCCGTCCCTGCCGGCCTCCGTCGCCATCTCCGGCTGCAAGGTGGTGTACATGTGCCGCGACCCCAAGGACTGCCTCGTGTCGCTGTGGCACTTCCTGGACGCGCAGCGGCCGGAGCCACGCGGCGACGTCGGCGAGGACTTCCGCCTCTTCTGCGACGGCGTGTCGCTGGTCGGGCCGTACTGGGACCACGTGCTGGCTTACTGGCGGTGGCACGTCGAGCGGCCGGGGCAGGTGCTGTTCATGACGTACGAGGAGCTGAGCGGCGACACGCTGGGGCAGCTGCGCCGCCTCGCGGAGTTCGTCGGCCGGCCGTTCACCGGCGAGGAGCGGGCGGCCCGGGTGGACGAGGCGATCGTGAAGGCGTGCAGCTTCGAGAGCCTAGCGGGCGCGGAGGTGAACAGGTCAGGGACGATTGAGCTGATGGAGGAGCCGATGCGGAACGCCGAGTTCTTCCGGCGAGGCGTCGTCGGGGGCTGGCCGAACTACCTGTCGCCGGAGATGGCCACAAGGATCGACGAGATTACCGAGAGCAAGTTCAGAGGCTCTGGACTGGTGTTGCCCACGATGATGACCATGTAATAAGTACAGTACATTTTGCAATATTGTTACAACCACTGGTGGAGAAATATTTTTAGTCACGGTTCGCAACCCCCTGTAGTCCCGGTTAACCAGGACTACCAATCCGGGACTAAAAATCGCTATCTTTATTCCCGGTTCAAATACCCGGAACTAAAAATAGATCTTTAGTCCCGGTTAGCAACACCAATCGGGACTAAAGAGAGGGGCCAACGGGACTAAAGAGAGGGTTGCGGTAGTGAGATGATCCCCTTTTTCTTTTTTATTTTCTCCCAAATCAAGTGGGAGACATATCTCAAATCAAACCCCCAATCCACAAATCGAAGTAACATCTCAAATCTACATCACAAATCAAAGTTACTTATACACACAAATAAATACATCACAAATCAAATACATCACAATATCCTAAGAAATTACTCAAATACATCATAAATCCAAACAATGAATCACAAATTTGTAACTTCTCAGTCAAATACATCTCAGTGAATCATCACAAATTTTTTTAAAAAAAAAGAATGCCGCTGCCGCCGCCGGTCGCCACGAACGATGGGCGCGGCCCCACCGGCCGCCGGCCGCCGGGCGCGGCCCCGCCGCCCGCCGCCCCGTCGGATGGGAAGGGGAGGCCGGCCGGAAAGGGGAGGAGGAAGGGGAGAGAAGAGGGAGGAGAGGAGTTGGAGAAGAGAGTTAGAGAGGATAGATCTGAGGAGAGGGGGTGAGATTCGATCTGTTAAGTTGTAACTGTGGAGAAGAGGATAAGGGATAGGGATTATATACTACGTGTTTAATTTTAGTCCCGGTTGATACTATCAACCGGGACTAAAGATCATCTTGATCTTTAGTCCCGGTTGGTAGTACCAACCGTGATTAAAGTGGTGATCTTTAGTCCCGGTTGGTAGATCCTCGGCCCCCTGACATACATCTGACAAGGGATGAACCGGGAGTAAAGATCATCTTTAGTCCCGGTTGGTGTAGATCAAAATTTTTATAACCGGGACTAAAAACAATCTTTACTCCTGGTTCTTTTTGGATCCGGGACTATTGTGGATTTTGCCGGACCGACCAAAGATGGTTTCTCCACCAGTGAACATGAATAACCGGTTGCAACATAATACGATGTGGAAAAAAAATACGGAGTAGAAACATATCTTTTTTTACTGCTTTTGCGTAAATATACATGTTTATGTGTAGAAACCATGTCTTATGCAAGACCTGGTCTCCTTTCTCTTTTCTCATTTATTCACTTGTCACATCATCTTTTATCCTAGGTGGTAACTTATTTAATGTTATGGTCACCATTCTAGTCATTGGGTTGGGAATGGTCTTAGCAATTAATTAATTATTATTATTTCTTTAACTAGAAAGAAAACCTGCGCAGATGCGCGGGCATCTTATTGATGTTTTATAAAAATAATGCTAAAAGAAGTTACATCTCTCTATTTCTACTTAAATGTTATAAAATAATAAGAATATATCTCAGATTAAAAATACACTTTGATCGAGTGACATATAATTTCTCATATTGTCACCACTAAATTATGCTTTAAAACCAATTAACCCTAAAACCTAATACATTATTAATACACTAAATTATCCACTGCTTAAGTTTTATGTCTCATTTTTTTTTCTAAATCCATTTATAAATATTGTAAAAATACCACTACTTCTATCCATTAATGGAATATATAGCACCATTAAAGTTAAACACGAATACTATGCTCATGGGTAAAGTCGATTGTAGCCACCAAGATTTCCTTTCTCTATTGCCTTGAAACATAGGTCTCGCATCGATATAGCCATGCTCCTGAAGACCAGCTTGGAGCATAATTTTAATGTACTCTCCCTAGCTTCTTTCAAAAGTCTAAGTCCTATTTCTTTTTCACTAAGACCAAGGTGTAGTTAACTCATTCATCTTGTGACAAAACCAATGAACATGCAACCAATAAGTACTAAAATGACTTTTTAGGTTCCGATCAAAAATTTAATATAGCACATAATGACTATAAATAGGATTTAGACTTTTGGAAAACAAAAGAATAAAATAGGACTCATGGAGTATTGCATTGGTAAGTAGAAAGTTGAGTACTATTAGCGATGGTGGCCTTCACTGGACTGTTTTAACTTAGCCATATATTCTATGCTATACTTGCGACACCATAATAAACTTTGTTGCCCATGTTTGGTGTCCTTTAGGGAAGAACAAAGAGAAGATGGAGGTGATCAAAGTAGTTTTTTAAAATGTTTTGAGTAGATTTGTGGTGGAGTGTAGACACGATTTGTTTATGTTGTTGATCATTACTACTTATTTTTTTTATTATATAGATAGAATACTCTCTTTTGAATATGACTGAGGTTAATCGTTCGATCATTTTTAAAAAAAAATATAGCTAATGAGACATACCACCACGATAATAACCAGAGCTTCATGTTATTATTTATATTTTGACAAATATGTATAGTCAAATAGTTCTAAAAGTATAAAACTACTTTGAGAATCTTAATCTCAAATAAATTATAATTTAATCAGACCTACTTGAAAAACGTAATTAAATTGTGTTTTTTTTTATTTTTTACATATGCATATTTAAATTAATGTTGTATATTTGTGAAGTGATATTTCCCTCCCTAAAATATGATGTGATTTTTTGAAAAATTATCATACATATGTCAGCCTCATGTGCCGTGGTGTATTTAGGTCCATAATATAACTTTATAATTTAATTAAAGAAAATACAACATAATCACAAATTGGATATATAATTTCAAAATAATTTAGAAGATGGTTTAAAGAATATTTATTGGGTATTCTATGTTTTTATTATAGATCTTAGTTTAACTATATATATTTATATTATATTTGTGAAATAATATATTTCATATTTATATTGTGGAAAATAACCGTCCATTTTTATATATCTATGTTTCTTTTCTATCTATGTTCGTATGGTTTTTTTCCCTTCCGTGAACACAGTTGAAATTTGAATTGCACGTAACTACTCGTACGTCGTACTTACGGGATCTGAGAACGGTAATAGCGTTTCTATATTTTGTAATAATAGATCTAATCTAACGGTGTAGAATAACGGATCTACCAATTTAAATGAAAATTAACATGAAAATTAACGGTGAGATTAGATAGTACCACATGGCGGCTTAGGAGCGTTTATAGGAGTGCCACATGGTGGTTTAAAAGTGTTTGTAGGAAGTTTAATAGATTTTTAGTATATAATAAAAGATAGAAAGATAGATTAGCATCATTAGTAAATTAATTAATCGTTAGTCATCATGATTAGTCACTAATCAACGTCCATATCGCTGGCCTGAGAAGCGAGACGGTGACCAGTATACCACTCTCCCGGATGCCACCATGCGAGACAGCGGCTTCGTCACGCTTTTTCGCGCCACGATTTTTAACCATGCCGTGTTGTTTTTCTCTTCATTTGGCGACAACGGTATGTTTGTGCTAAAAATATTACTCCTACATCCGAAATATTTTTGAGAAAAAAATAAACGAACGGTATATTTTTAAATTTAACTCATACGTAGTGTACATTTTTCCTTATTGAATGTTGCTCTTCACCGTGAGCTAAAATCCGGTTGTTTTTCACCGTCAACTTTTCAAACCGAGCAAATTACATCCTTCTCTTATTCATGCGCCATTACCAGGCAAACGCAAAAATGATACTGCTGCGCTGATTATTTCTTGGTATTACAAAACCTAAACGTTCTCCTGCTAATAAACTGGTTGTATACAGTTAAAAGTGAACATTTCCTTGTATCACACCTATTCTGTCCACACCTAAAGTTCGGTCTGCTTGATACATCTACCGCTAAATTACATCGGTTTGAAAACGTGTACCGTGCACATCACCACACTGCCACAACACTAGCATCCTCGAGAGAGAAAAAAAAAACTACTAAGAACAGATTCAGAAGCTGAGCTCATCAGCGAACGCCTTGGTAAGCTTCTGAGAAGGGCTCAGGCTCCCACCGCGGCTGATCCGGAGCGACTGGATCGACTTCTGAATCTCCAAGGTCATGGCGCTGTCCACACTACCTGCAGATAGCCGCTTGTGAGCCTTCTGCAGATGCAGTTTGAGTGAGCTCGTGCTCAGTCCGACGTTCTTGCTGCAGATTGGGCACACCTTCATCTCAGGTCGCTTGTGCTGCCAATCCATAGACACCTTTCCATGCAGCTTCCTGTCAAGCGCTAGCAGAGCCTTTGCGAAACCGTCATTCGGTTGTGCCCGACGATGCACTTTCTTCAGTAAGTTCCAAGCTTTCGCAAGAGTGAGGCCCCTGAAATAAGTGTTTTGTCAGCAGGCATGGGTGAGGTTCTTGTGTGACATTACCACATAATTTGCCAACGGAAGATTGCTAGTTACAAAGTTAAATTTCTTACTTTCTGAGCATCAGGTAGGCAAGCACAATTGTGGCACTCCGACTTTTTCCTTCAAAGCAATGAACAAGAACCTTGCCTCCAACATGATCTACATGATCGAAGTAATCTGAGGCTTCTTCAAAAAGATCACTGATATTTGCATCATCATCATCACTAATCTGTAAAACATTACAAGATGAATGATTTCAGTGTGGAACTCAGTATCATGGAACATGCACTATGTCAGAGGTTGATTGATGCTCTTACTGAAAAGTTCTTGTATTCAAAAAGATCGGGAAATTGGGAATCAGATTGACCAATCTCATTTGAACACAAACATAGTATATGGGTAATGCCCAGATGCTGAAGGGTGTACATAGATCTTGCAGCCAGAGCCCCACCTATGAACAAGTTGTTGATAACAAGAGAAGGTCGCTCGGTATTTGCAGCGTCAGAGACCAAGGCTATCCTTTCAATGATGTGTTCTAGACGCACCTGCAAGTTAGTAATTTATGAATATATTTTTTCTTTAACAGAAGTACTATATATTTAGATACCAGTACATCAGGACCCACCTTCAATTCATATGCATCAGCTACCATGTTATTCTCATTGCCATCAAAAAATCCAGAATGAAAATTGTTCTCCTCGCAAAATTTGATCACATCAGACTTAAGCGCCTCATTCCATT